ATATATATTTGATATATATTTTTATATATTTATGTGTTATATATATATATATATATATATATATATATATATATTCTTTATGCTTTAATATTAATGCGGATAATACAAATATTCATATACATTACAGGCACCAAGTAACGTGTTACCAAACATATGCCTTTAAAAACTTTATTATTGTCTTTAGTCTTTTAATCACCAATCAAAAACTTTTTTCTTTTTTTTTTGGTTTTAATGCCGTTCAGACTGAAACAAATATTCTGTTCAGGCTTTGTAACTCCAGGTCAAGCTAAACTTCTTTCATGGCAACATCCTGTTATGGGTGTATCAGACATTCAGCCTCAAACCATTTATTCGAAGCACTTCTGTTATGAGGACATCTGGAGATTTTATAGCATGCGAGACTCACTTTCGTTCCTTTTACCTTTTTCTTTTTCATCTGCAGGATCTCACGCGCCGAGTGCCTGAAATTAAACCACAAACTCCCAAAAAACCACATCAGCGTGTAGGTCAGAGTATTTGTTGTGCAATGCCTTTCACAATCACCTCTGTTTCCCCATCCCTCATGTTTCATTAGAGATCTTCTCTTAGGGCTAGATGCAGTTTAGCGTCAAAATCCACGTTTTCATTTCACACCAAAACTTCCCTCCCGCTCCGGACATGCACTATGCGACACGTGGCTTTTAATAAGGACTTATTTTTATCTGTATATGGTTTTAATTTATTGTTTGGCTTCTGTTTGAAAGCAGTACTGTAGACCATCAACTGTAGCACAGAGCGTGTGGACTTGCAAGTTACTGGCCTCCTGTTTTTGGTCGTGTACATAGAACAAACTTTTCCAAACTGTAGTTAATATAATATGCTCACAGAAACTTGAAACCTGGCTCGAGTAGTACTGAGTTTGTTATTTAAGTTTGTGCCATCATATTCTTTCCTCACCAGATGACCTTACCTTATTATAGATTTTTTTTTTTCATTGTTATGATGTTTTCTTTTTTCACTGTTTACAACGATGTATTTATTTTGCTGTATATATTGTAATGTTTGTTGTAAATGATGACAGATTCTAAACTTCATCTCAGATGGAGTTGCTCTACTTGGTAAACTCTTGTTGAGAGAATGTTTATTATTATAAATATTATCCAATGTAAAAACAAAATGATGATACTAATAATAATAAGATTCTGTATAAAAATGAGACGGTCACCTTTAAACGTGTGTTTCTGGAGATCTGGGGAAAGCCAAACCATTTGAGACGAGTCGCCACTGGCGTTTGGCCCCAGGGCTGTGCCTTAACTTAAAAGCTCTTTGTTTGTGTGTCCGTTTCATCTCTTTACGTGTTTCGGAGAACGATGTCTGCTGGCAGGGTATCAGGGCATCTTATGCGCTGCATTTAAAGCTAAAGCTTAGGACGCCTTGGGTTACTACTATTCATTTGTAGGTCTAAAAAAGTGGCACATAGCGAATGCCGCTGTCAAGGCTTGGCTGCTTGTGATCTTCTACTTTCATGCCTATCTTTAACTTCGTTCAGGTACCGTCTGCTACCTTCATCTCATCCAGCCTTGTAGATGTGCTTGTGCACTAATCGGAACAAGCATACTTTCTGACACGCGTACTGTAGATTAGCAGCCCTGGACCAAAGCCAATCGTGGCTTATTATTAATTATTACTGGTATTTTTTCAATGTCATTAAAGGGATACTTTAACATTTTATTCATAAGTTCTGCTGATTAAAAACTGAAACACTTCTTTCAGTCTCTTATAGTCTTTTGCCGGTGTTGTGCCCATTTTCGACCCCTGCCAAATTATTACCCCCTCTTGTTGAAATCGCTACTTGATTACCTAACCCTAACCCCTCCCCCAAACCTAACCCTAAACCTACCAATACTTGGGGGGGTAGTAATCTGGCGGGGGTCAGAATTGGGCACAACACCGGTACTGTAGATCCATCTCCAATCGGTTTCAAGTCCATAAACTACAAGAAAAAAAACATTTTATATGCAACAAATGAAATAAAAGCATGGGTTGATTCCACACGTGTGTCGCGTGTTTGTATTTGTCGCAGATATGAAGCATGAGATGTCTTGGGTACCTGAAGAACATGGTTTGGTTTGGTCATGAAGGGCCGGAGCCAACCCTTACCCTAATTAAACACGCCTGATCCAGAAGTCCTTCAGGCTTATTTGAAAACGACATGCTATGTGTGTTGGAACAAAACTCTGCGGCGCTCCGGCCCTCCAGGAATTGAGTTCGACACCCCTGCTTTAACTGAAGGTTTGCTCAAATTTTCGTTCCGAAGAGAACTCTTGCATTAAATATACTCGGAATGTGCTATTTTATGCAAAGAGTATAGAATACCTTATATATAGAATATGCCTTAAAGGGACTTTGGTACTAGTCACATAGACAACCATGTGAACCGTAGGATGTGTGAAATCAGTCATGCTAAAGCATTTTTAAGAATATAAAATGGACAGTTTTAATTGATCTAAAATATAGTCAATAATATCCTTTAGAAAGCACATTTATCTGAAAAGGAAGAGCAGCGCTCTCAGTCGAATCTAAAGTAAAACTGTAGTTCTGCTTCCACCTGGTGGCCACACAGAGAAACAGCTGCATATTAATTCTCTTACCTATCAAACTTTTTTTTGTCGTCACTTCATCTAAAATTATTCAGTTCATTAATAGGTGGCAGGAAAAAGAATCAAATCTTCATGTACTCATTTATTTCTGGTCCTTCAAATAAAATGATTAGACATTTAAATAGTGTGCCACGTACATTACTTGGTGTATTATTCTCAGAAGTTCAATTAAAATAATAATAATAATAATAGAGATCGTTGCATAAATAATGTTTTTTATACTTACACCAATAAATAAATGACACATTTATCCAAATCCTATATTATACGCCCTTAAAACGTTTCCGAATGAAACGAGTATCTTCTATATGTGATAAAGGTAATCCTGTGGCGATAATATTTCGTACTTTTACAACTTCTGCATGGACATCAAGATGGATATAAAACTATTGTATGCCTGCCATCGTTCATGTTAAAATAGCTTATATACCTCATATACATTTACCTTGGTAACCTTTTCTGTCAAAACGCCACATTGACAATGTTAAAAAGAAATACACATTAAAGGATTAGTTCACTTCCAGAAAAAAACCCAGATAATTTACTCACCCCCATGTCATCCAAGATGTCCATGTCTTTCTGTCTTCAGTCACAAAGAAATTAAGATTTTTGAAGAAAGCATTCCAGGATTGTTCTCCATATAATGGACTTCAATGGTGCTCAATGAGTTGAAGATCCAAATTGCAGTTTCAGTGCAGCTTCAAAGAGCTCTACACGATCCAGGCCGAGGAATAATGCTCCTGTGAAACCATCAGACATTTTCTAAATAAGTACAAATACAAATGTATATACTTTTTAACCACAATTGCTCGTCTTGCACTTACTTACATAATCCCGTTGGAAAAGTCACGCACGGTTCGCTCTACAAGACAAACATATTTGGTTAAAAAGCATATAAATGTTTATTTTTATTTTATTTTTTTTAGAAAATGACCGATTGTTTCACTAGATAAGAGCCTTGTTCCTCGGCTGGGATCGTGTAGCGCTCTTTGAAGCTGCGCTGAAACTACAATTTCAGCCCATTGAGCACCACTGAAGTCCATTATATGGAGAACAATCCTGGAATGTTTTCCTCAAAAACCTTCATTTCTTTTCAACTAAAGAAAGAAAGACATAAAAATCTTGGATGACATGGGGGTGAGTAAATTATCAGGACATTTTTTATTCTGGAAGTGAACTAATCCTTTAAAATCATACAGTGAAAAATATGTTTGTATGATAGCCAATATAAAACATGCGCAATGTGTGATGAATTATTCACTGATTAAACTTCCTTCCAGAAAGCTCTCTTAAATCTAACAGATATGTAAAAAAAATTAATAAAAACACTTTTTATTAGACATTAAAGACATAACATGCAACATTTTCAACTTTAACAAGACATCCAAAAAGATAACACAATTAAGGAATGGGTTTACATTACATAGAGAAAAAAAAATCAATAATACTTAAAGAAAAAGAAAAAAAGACAGAATATACCCGTGCAATTTTCAAGTAACTTCAACTCTTTAGCGAATAAAATTGTATCTACATTTTTTGTTATCAATACATTTGAGAGACTCAAAATACAAATGAAAATCGGTCATGAAGACCTTCAAACAGGGTTTAGAACTATTTCTTTTACTTTTATGAATATGAAATTTACCAAATAAAATCATTAGATTCATAAAACTGACAGATGCATTTTTTGATTCAAAATATAAGATAACATCTTTGGATGTTAATTATTAATAAAAACACATTTGGACTGATTTCAGTGCTGGCTACATCCGGAAGTGATCATGGTGAGGTACTGAACACTTGAGTGATTCCTGATGTTGGTGTTTAGGATAAAGATGACACACACAGGCAAGTGCGCTCAGTGCAGACATTAGGAGAGCAACGCTGATGAAATGAACGTGCTTTATCATGCGTGTCATTACCCTGTACATCCGGCAGGTGGCAGTGAGAGCAAAACAACGCAATTAAAACGGACCTTTAGAGTGGAGATGGTCCTGACTCATTCACCGTCGTGACAAATCACACAAACGTACTAACATAAGTTGAACTCTGAGAGGGGAAATAAAGACTCTAATGTATTTTCACTTTGTATTTATCAAGATTACTGCTCATGCGCGTAAAGATGCCGTGTCACATGGTACATGTTACTTTTCTCAGCGAGGAGCGATGAGTCGATCAACCCGGAAGT